CCTCTACAACAACCACCCAGCCTACGCAGCATTTCTATCCTGGGGCAGATGCTGTGTAAACCATGGCTTGCATTCCCCAAAACTCTACAGGTGCCCTTTGCGGTCGCCGGAAGCATTCCCAAATGTTCGTAATAAACATAAGTTACGGGCCCCTGTTTTTGTGTGTACCAACAACAACAACAACAACAAGGCCGCCACCGGCGGCACCACCACCACCACCACCACCAGCAGTGGCAGCACCAGCAGCTCCAGCAGCTGCGGTTCTCAACCGCAGCACTCAAAACGAGCGTGCACAACAAGCAATCTAGTTGTGCAAATTCCACATACGCAACTAGAACCGAACCACACTGGCAGGATGAAAACACGAATAGAAGGAATTATGACCGCGACACTTGTCAACACCCGAGATATCTTCACGACACGATGATGTTCGCAACGATGGGCTTCAGCGTTTATGTTACGCACAGTTCGTAGGGGTTTCTAGGAAATGGATTATGAAAGCTGAGTTTTTTGGCTTTGAGGTGTTTACTGTGAGGAAGGCATGTGCGGTTCCTGGCTTTGGGGTATAGAGCTCCAAGCCCAGTTTTCACCTCCTGACGGCAAGCTGCAAGGTGATGCTGTGCTCTCTCCGCTTCTGCATGTTCTTGTGGCTCGGTGGAGTGGGGAATGGCACCAGGTTAGGTTGAGGCAGCCGGACAACTGCTGGATTGTTTGGGCATATTCACCTATACTGCGACTCGCCATGCTTCGGTATGACGAAGCTTGACTATGAAGATCGATAGTAGTTGAGTCGAGCAAACAGGAATCTGGACCCCTGAACCGACCCATGTCATACGGCGTATGTTCAAATTGATTAATGTTGAACCTCTGAGGATGTCAGCTTCAGGACGGCCGAGGGTCAGGGACAGCCAATCCACGTTGCATGTCGTGCTTCGGGGCTTAGGGCAGAAGCTCCCCTTCAGCACCACTAGCAGCAAAACTCGGCTTCCCCTAACCTCTCAAGTACCTACTATTTAGGGCCCTAGGGGCTCTAGTACCCTATATAGTAGGTACCTGGGGGTTAGGGTTCACTTCTAGAAGCCATCAGGTGACCTGCTGTCATTGATGTTACCCGCCTTAGGCGCACTTAGGCCAGTCCAAAGCCGCTTGAGTCCGGTTCCGAAGCTGGCTAACATATGGGCTTATAAATAAAAACCTATACTACTTTGGGGGCCATGTTTGGTGCAGTAGCAATCACTACCCTCACAAAGGTGACTGCTGAGGATTTCCACGGCCAGACTGCTATTCCGTACTCCTGCTGCTACCACTACCACTACTGCTACCGCTGC